ATCCAATGTATCTAAAATGACAAATGCAGGGCCATGGTGTTCTCTGTTTCACTTTATTAAGGATACAATCTAAATATCAAGTACAAAAGGTGCAGGGCATAGTGGTGTTAGGATCGGAATCCAACTTGTATCAATCGTGGTCCCACTCTATACTCCCTCTTGGTAGCCGGCTTTGAGGGAGATCGGTGACAGGTCTCCGCTTGCTGTATTTGTTGTTGTGCATTCCACTACTGATCCTTCGTTCCACTGTGCTGTCCTGTACGGTAAGAAAGATGCAGCCTTATGCGTTTGGTGATCTCATGATCACTTCATTAGAGGTATGCATCTAATCTGTTTGGCAGGTTTTTAAGCCTACCGATCTTGTTACAACTCAGGAATTTAACCCTTAGGTGTCCTTATTAAAAATCATTAGAGGGTTATTAACCTTCGCATGTTCTCAGATAAAAACATGAATTCATTTATATATACATATTAATAAAATTGAAAGTTAAAAATCCTTAAACTGGGACTGTCATACAATTAAAATGTACATTCAAAGCATAAGTATAAATACACAAGTACGTTAAGAACTGCATACTGGAATTCAAATAATACAGATTAATACTAAAGTAATAACATTGTGGCAGAGGGAGATTCTTAAAAGATGGAAAGACTAGGTTTTTAAATTTTAATTAATATAGCTCAAACCGAGCTAGAGTTGGATATTGTGACGTCTTATTAAGCATATCTATTAAACTAGTGTATATTACGTAAAAAATAGATGGAAAGTAATACAAATTTGATAAATTTATTCTTTACCAGATTAAGGATAGGGTTACTTCTCCATATGTACGAAAATATTCTTAAAACCTTAAACGTTGAAGTGGAAGGAAAGTGAAAGATATAGAATCAAAGATAAGAGAAGGAAAAAAGAAAACAATCCTAAGAGACAAAGAGGACTATGAACAAGGAAGACAGAGGAATTGGAGAAAACAGAAACTGAATCAACAGTATACTCCTTACCATACAAGTAGGAACCTCCCTTCCCCCATACCGAAAGAGTACCATATAGAGAAAACAGAAGACCACTGGATAGAAGACAATACCCAGTGATGGAGAGAGAGAAATTACAAAATCCTATGGGATATCAAAAGCCAACTGAAAGAAACTATAGGGATAGGTCAGGTATATCTGCCAAAAACCAACCCAGCCATGCCAGAACATTTAAGACTCCAGTATGTAGAAGATCTCCACCCAAAGCCCCTATCGAACTTAAAAAAAAAAACACTATGTGGGAAGAATTCCAATGAAACACCAACTGCCCCAAGATTTCGAGAACCTTTTTTGGGTGATTTTTAGAGAAGAGAGAGGAGGCAAGACCAGTCCTAAAACAAACATGGAGGGAAAGGAGGGACCATCCGAGGTCCCCACACTAAGAAAAAGACCAAAAAGATAACAAGAAGGAGATCCATCAAGTCAATTATGAGCGGGATACATTATTAAGTTGACTGGTGATGCTGGGTCATTCCAGCGTTCGATTCTAAGAGACCTCGGATTTTGACGTTATTCCATCTCCCCCTGTTATCCCGATCCTCCAGGTATCTGTGCATTGATGTTTGGGGTTAATCTATTTGATTTGTGCGGTTGCTGTAGTCAAGCGAGTGACCTGAGTGTCTACAGTTGTTTCCTATTGTTGAACTCTCGTGTCTATAGAGTTGAGGCCTGCTCCCAGTACAGAGATTTTGTTCTGGATGGATTTGCCTAGGTCAGTTAGCATGTGTGCTATTTCCTCTCGTGAGAGCAATTTGCTCAGTATGTCCCGTATATCTGTATAAGGGATCATCGTTGCCTCTAAGATAGAGTAGCTGGCTTGTGAGGCCGCTGGTGGCGGTGCTTGCTGCGCCATGCTGGATCTCGAGGCCTCTGGATCTCCATCAGTTTTTTCTGAAACATATTTGTTTAACCCCTTAAGGACACATTACATGTGAGACATGTCATGACTCCCTTTTATTCCTGAAGTTTGGTCCTTAAGGGGTTAAAGGTTGAAATCTGGAACCCTAAGCATTCCTTGGGTCTTTGGTAGGTACGGGGTCTCTTTTTTTGTTGCCCATTTTGTAGGATTGCTGCGATTGTGGATTGAGCACGCCCGTAGTCAGAGCTGAGGGCTCACACGTCTGCTCTCATTGCTTGGTGAACATGCCCTCATTTATGTTTATTTTTATTCTTACTTTTATCTTTAGTTCTGTTTTTTTATTTTTTATTTTATTTTTATTCTTATTTTTATTTTACTTTACCTCTATCTCATTTTTTCTGTTTCTATCTCTATTTTAATATTTCTTACCCCAAGATTTACTCTAGTTTTCACTTTCACATTTTGAATTTATCACCATGTGTATCCGACTATATCCGATTTAGTTTCATCCCAACTTATTTTACCAAATGTTATTTAGACGTTTAATTTCCCTTTCCTGGGGTAGCTCCTCAACTTGTATTTGCCATATAGCCCCCACCAACATCTGAATTCTCCACAAAGCAATTGGGCCATTGTATAATATAAAATAAAAAATCAACACATTCAGATATAACACAGAATATTTAATTCATAGCATATGATATCCCCGATAACGATTTATCTCCCCCACTAGTCAATCAGTGTATGCCGCTCAGTTCTAAACCTCTGGATATGATGATAACTTAAACATTAAAGGTTTTAAGAATATTTTCATACATATATAGAAGTAACCCTATCCTTAATCTGGTAAAGAATAATTTAATCATATTTTACTAAAAAATGTATTACTTTCAATCTATTTTTTTCGTAATATGCACTAGTTTAATAGATATGCTTAATAAGATGTCAACTTCTCGATATTCAACTGTGGCTCGGTATGAGCTATATTAATTAAGATTTAAAAACCTAGTCTTTCCATCTTTTAAGAATCTCCTATGCCACAATCAATTGTATTACTTTGTTATTAATCTGTATTATTTGAATTCCAGTATGCAGTTCTTAACGTACTTAAGTTAAGTTAACGTACTTACGTTAAGTTAAGACTCAGGTATAGAATAGAGCAACCTGATTTTGTAATTTTGTATTTTCAGAATTTGCTTTGGAAGTAATGTGAGTTAATGTTAATGAAAAGGTTCCCTTTAGTACTTTCTTCATATCTGTGTGTTTATATGAGCCTTACACAAACAAAATAATTGTAATGTTTCTGATGAAGGATGTCATTTTATATTTAGAGCCTTTTACATTTTTGGATTCCTTCTCTACTTTTACTCTTTTAAAAGAGCTTACATTTCCATCATTACATTGCACTAGAAGTTTTGCTAGCAAAAGTCTAGATATGCAGGAAAAAAAAAACTATTTATAAATAGATTTTCATCCTATCTGACTGATTTCCTTGGCAGACACAGGAATTGAAAGACTGGCAGAGCACAAAAGACCTCTCACAGGAGGTTCCCATGCTCTCCACCCATAGCAACCACAGCACATGCACTGTGATTTTTATTGCAACTCCCTAGGGAGCATAGGGACAGAGAGATGTGACTTCACTCCTTGGGCATGGGTACACTGGTAATGAAGCCAGCATGTCAGCATTTTGAGAAGGTTTGTCTTGCTTGGGGGAAGAGTCCAGGCGCAGCACGGGTGGACAAGAGGTAGATTTTACAGAAGTGTAACACTCACCTCTTTAATAAGATTGTGGCAGAAAAGCAGAGGGCCAAGTAAGTCGTGACAATTTCCATTTAACATACTTCTATCTTTTGGATAAACACCATTCTTTCAAGGCCAATATAGTGCAGTACCGATAACAGTTTTTCTGTTTTCATAGTGCATCACCTCCAAAAACGTTAAAAAATGCACAGTAAACTAGCCTGTGTTTTGTGCTATATTTTACATTCTCCAATCCAAAACACAACTGCCACGGAGAAGAGCAGGTTATTTAAACACAAAAAACTGTCATGTAACTGATAAACTACTTACCAAACTAACCATACTGTGAAAAAAATATGCAAACATATAAACCAATAAGTAATGAACATGTTCTTTATGTAGTAAAGAATATAATAAATAGCCTTAAAACAAAATATGTGTTCTGAATCGGAGTTTATCCAAATTCAATCAATTCAGTATTTGTAAATGTCCGAATTTTCATATCAATGGAAAACAAAAACATTTTGAAAACTGATCCATAATGAACCAAATCAATTTGTTTCAGATCTATTGATTTTGATAAGGATAGCAAAATTGGGAGTGAACAACTGAAACTATTGAAAAAGCAATATTAAGAAAAGAGCGTTTCTCAATTTTGATCTTACATCTGTTTAGTAACTAGCACCTAATCTGCTATCCTTATGTGGGATTGCACTAATTAAGGATTGTCATATTTAAGAATACCAAATTAGGGCACAGTGTAGCAGGTATTTGGCATCCTTAACTATGGAAATCCTACAAAAGGATAGCAAATTAGGGAGTTCAACATTAACAGGAGGGTTTTTCTTAAAGCGGCACTGTCATGATGAACTTACCTTTCTTTAATCGATTCCTCTTCTCTCAGGATCTGTTCTTCATTTCTTCCTGTCTGCTCTAGTTTTCTTTAAAACATAAGACAAAGTAGGGATTACTTGTCCTTATGGAGGTTTCCTATGCTGACCATCTCTGACCAGCGGAGGAGCAAAGTGTGCTTCATATCAGGTGGTCAAGAGCAATTTTCCCACAATTGTCACCTTTCCTCCGTGTTCCCGCGAAGCCTCCTTTCACTTTTCCCGAACGTCCTGTCATTTAGACAGAACGCCGATAAAACTACTCAATTACATCCTAACAGAATGAGAACAGTTTTTCCATTCGTGTTAGGACGCAATTCGGGACTTTGTTCGTATCGGAATTTCATTCATTTGAATGTAACTCCGATCCTATTCGTGCCGCGGCTGCATCTTACAGCCGCTTAGTAGATAACTCCCTAATTCCCATGGTATTAGGGAGCTGAAATATTTTATTAACTTTTAATTATCTGATGTGTTGTAGAATCTTGCTTTTGTGTTATGAATATTATAAAGTCTTTATTCAAACTTCTTTCAGACACAGGATGTAACTAGTATTACAGACTTTCATTGTATATGGATGGTCACCACATATGGTTCATGTTAAGATAGATTGATGAAGGCCTGTTGATAGTAACCTTTGACCTAGCTTTGCAAGCCAGACTCCCTGTGTATAACCAAGGCTCACATTTCTAAAGGCATTTATTAATTTAACCATGTATATATAACTTCTTTTGTGTAACTTCTATTTTACTGCCTAAATATAATGTATGGCTTTAATTATAGATTTCAAATGATACTAAGCTACCACCCATTTTCTATGAGAGCCACTTATTTTAAAGTAAGGCAACCTTATGTATACACCCCCCTATAACAAAATTTTAAACCTATAAAAACGATTGTAGCTAAGATTTTTTTACCAATACTTCTAACATCAAAAATGGATACCATCTTGAACGTTACTCTGTATTGGACCTCACAAGACGTGTGCATTGATGTAGGTTGTTTTTGGATTTTATGTATGTTTGAATAAATATACATTTTTGGCTGCAAGACACTCTGATTCAATTATTAGAACACTGGTGTGTGACAAACAAAAATCTAAAGAAAAGCTAATTTCCTACAGGAGCTATCTACCAAAAGACTGAATGACCTAAATTGGTCTTTCAGCCAAATTTACTAATACTAAGTAAATATTACTAAGTATTAGTAAATTCTGCCCCTACTCACTATACCGCGAGTAGGGGCATGTCTACTAAACAGTGAGTGGGAACTTTCCCACGCTGTGTAAAATGACAGAGCACTCTGGTTGGATTTCAAATTGAAAGCAACCGATCAGAGTTCTCTGTGTCATTTTACACAGCGTGGGAAAGTTCTTTGTACCTGTCAGTCTCTTAATTTACCCGTCAGAGCACTCTGATTGGTTGGCTTAAACCAACCAATCAGAGCGCTCTGAGCCTAACTGCAGGGCGTGGGAAGGCTTTATAAGCCTTTCCCCACCCTGCGGAGCTCAGTCTGTACCGTGCCCTCCATGGGTGAAGATGGATACATTTTTTGTATCTGGCCTTTTCTTTTTAAATCAGATTTTTTTGGGGCACTCAGGTTTTTTATTTTTTTTGTTGACAAGTTCGACGGATATTATGGATTTTTATTTGGCCTTTTTTGGGGCATCAAATGGTAAGTTTTTTTTTTTTACAGGTACTTAGTTCGTTTTATTTCCCCCTCACTAGTTTTAGGGTGGGGGGGTAGGTAGGGGTTTATTAATTTTTTTGGGGTGGGGGTGTGACCAGGGGTGTGACCCCCCCACTTTGGGAGGGGGGGTAACAATTTCATTTAGGGCCCCCACCCGCCGCTCAGAGGTGGGGGCCAGGGGTAGGACAATAGGTTTCCCCCCACCTTTATTGTTATTTAGGGCACCCACCCACCGCTCAGGGGTGGGGGTCAGGGGGGAAGGATGATAGGCCCCCCACCCTCATTGTTATTTAGGGCCCTCACCTGCCGCTCAGGGGTATGGGCCGAGGGGGAGGACAGTAAATCCCCCCTACACATTCTCATTTAGGGCCCACACCCGCAGCTCAGAGGTGGGGGCCGTGGGGAGAAAAATAGGTGTGTGTCCCTTATAATTATTTAGGGCCGCCACCCGCCACTCAGGGGTGGGGACCAGGGTGAAGGGACGCTAGGTCCCCCCTTCAGTTTAATAGCCCTCACTTGGGGGGGGGGAGACTATGTTTTGTTTTGTTTTTTTAACAGTGAGCAGCCTGTGACATGCCCCTACTTGCGGCATAGCAAGACAGAGTTTATTGATTGACAGGAAGCCTCCAGCAAGATGGAGGCACCCAGTTGCAGGAAAAAGAGGTGTGAATTTCTACATTTTATTTTATTTTTCTCCCATGTCACAATTACATATTTGTTAAATGTAAGGACAGATAATGATAATATGAAAAATTCTGGAAAGTAATCCCCACCGTCACTGAGTGCCATGCCCACTTATGTCCACTTGCTTACACACATTGTTTCACATCCTCATGTCGGGGATCTCCCTATCTAAGAGGCAATGTATTGGTTGTGGGGTCCCCTTGTTCGCAAATCATATTTGGGCTGGTTTGGAGGATTGTGCTTGTCCCATTCTGGATGTGATGTTGAAACACAAGGGATTGTTTGTTCCTGAAAGCTGATGAGCATTAACATGTCAAAGGACTTCCTATCTAAGAGGCAAACCAGGCTTCCAGGTCACTTAGGTGGGACTTCTCACGCCTTACCGAATAGCTCTGTTGGAGTCCCCAGTAACTCAGGTTGTATACAATCAATTAACCCCTTTTGTAATGTTAAAATGTGGGTGTGGGGTTTGGAACTATTGTAGACTTTTCTGCACCCGAAAAGGAACTTGATTATCTCTCAGGCACAGAGGATCATGGGAGGGGTTACCCTCTGGACCTGAAAGGGAACTTCATTATCTCCCAGAGACAGCAACGCTGGGGTGGGCTTATGCTTTGGGTTACTATGAAGCCTGTGCATAAAAGATGCTTGTTTTCCATAAAGATTGTCAGAGTTTGTACCTCCAGAACTGAGTCTCATCTAGTTACTGGAGGGAAGGGAGATTTAACCCCTGTGTCTGCTGTTCCAGCTTGCAGGGATGCAGCGGGGAAAGTCCTTGTAAGGAATAAGAGAGCTAGTTCCCCTATCCATTTCCCTGTTCGAGCTAGGAAGCAGCCCTTCGGCAGAGGTACCCAGCAGGGGTACAGGGACATTATTTGGCATGTCTCTCAGCTAAGGGAGTTTATTTACGCATCCACTAATCCAGTCCAGACTAGTCCACTATTGTGAGAGAGAAATCTGACACTGGTGCCAACTCTGCATTATTCACACATACCAGGCTCTCTCTCTCCTCCCCCTGTTAGTTTGCAAGGTGAAGAGATCTTCCAACTGCATGTATAACTCTGCCAGGCATGCCTGTGACGGGCCGCCTGGTACCCCGACTGGGTGCCTCTGCCAATCACTGCTTCCTATTACCTCCGAGTATTTCCAAGCACTCCACCAGACACCATCAGCACTGTAGACCCTTAGCCGACGCAGCTTGGCTGGAGTCTCGCTGTCCTCCATCCAGCTTCCAGTGGGTAGACCTCTCCTACTCCATAGAGTATAGCAGGATAGCTCTTACAAGAGCTAGTGATATAGCTGTTCCCTACAATTACGAGACGAGGCTCTGTGTTCAGGGTGAAGTTGAACTGTTTAATGGCAGCCACAACTGGCCTTATATGTAAGTCCCCATGCAAGGGGTTTTCCATAACATATTCCAGGGGCATTCTCCACTGGACCTGAGAGGGGACTGTGACAAAGTACACACTGTAATTACATTGGCTCTCAGGTCCAGGACACTCCCACACAAAACAGGATAATCCCTCCCCTGTGCCTGAGAGATAATTGAGTCAGGAATTTTTTGTTTTGTTTTACAATAACCCAAAAGTACCCCCAAAGCACACGGAAACCCCACAAAAGGGACCAACATATCCAAAAATCAGGGGTTCGGGATTTCCATGGAAGTCATAATTTTTACCGACTGTGAATGTGGTCCTATGTCCAAAACAGTTCCAGGGAATTAGGGCCAACAGTTAGTCTCTCTTTCTGGAGTACAAAAGTACATAAATCATATACGTTTTTAAAGGGCCCATAGTCTTTTGGCAGGAGACTGGCAAGCAGGCCTCCAAGAACACGTGGTAGCGGCATTTCTGCCACAATGCCCAATGCACTTTTCAGCATTCCTAGGGATAGGACAATGATCCCTGGAGTGGCTGTGGAAGACATAAGAATGAATATTTACCCAATTGTCTCATTCAAAGCTAAAGCATCCCATTGCCTGTCCCGTTCTCCAGCCCAGCTGTGTTTCCAGTTTGGTTGTTACTTTGGCCTTACATTTCAAATGTGTTTTTAATTTACTTTAGTGAATAACGTAACACTGTGAGTGAAAAGTGATGGCAAACATATATAAATATTTAAAATTTTATCCACACATATATAAGTGTATTGTTGTGAATTGTGCACTTCATTTGTACTAGAGTGTATTAGTTGTGCTTGTAGTTTTCTACAGCTATTTGCACGTGATGTATGTATATTGAATAGATTCTTTAGGTGGATGTAGGCTGTAGGCTGTAGGTTATATAGTTGCCTTGCATAATATTGGTGGGACACTATTGTCTAATGTCATATATATACATTACTGGACTGCTAAAGTAATGTTTGAGAGATTATATTTTTTAGATATTAGATGTATTATGGCTATAGGTTTTTCTTACATTCTCTATTTTACTGTATTTTTATCAATCACTACTGTTTTTCTGATCGGAGACTGTTTCATTGTCTTTGTTTGTTCACTGTACAATGATAATAAATTTGAATCTAAATCAAATTTATTATATATATTGATATATGTTGATGTTAAATGAGCATAGTTAATTTCACAGCTTAGTGCAGTGCAATACAAGATCAGATGAAGAACTGCTTTTATGCATTCCGTTAACGTAGTATTTCCAACTATTTTAAAATAGTTTTCAATATAATATATGGGCCATCAAAACTGTGTTTAAATCATTTCCATAATCATATCAAAAGATAACCAATTCAAAATTTATATTAAAAAAAATCAAAGTTTATATCTAAAAAATACATAAAAGTACTTTAAAAAGATCATTAGATAATGTGAATAAATAATATTAAGAGAAGTCATATCAAAAAGAGGTGAAAATCTAAAATAGGTAGATAGTTAAATAGATAGCTAGATAGATGTTCAAATAAGCTACTCAACTTAAAAATAGTAATGCATATCAACAGGGCCGGAATAAGGAAATCCAAAATACTCAAATTCTGGATGTGTTCAGGTCACTAAATACACAACATGTACTGCATTATAATGTAATATATTTCACTCATTAGGGATTCTAGTTAGTATCGAGCGTGGCTGTAAATTACGGATAGAAATATAAAAAAACAAATTTATTTAAAAAAAAACACGGTGTCATTAGTGGAAACAATAATATCCTACTATTATTATAAAAGCTTCACATCTTGACGTGTTCACATATCGATAGTTATGTGGCAAAGGTAAAAAGTTATTAGAATTTGAAAATATGAATCCTTTTACCAGGATTCTTAACTTTTTATGCTGCATTAGATAAATGTATAATGTTCAGCATTTCTTCTTGCTTTTTTTCCAATATTGTTGATTGATATCTTCACC